TGTTCGGCAACTGTGGGTGACTGCCCTTCCACGGAAGGCCCGTTTCATACCACCCTTCTTCACTTCTTGTGAGCTGTTCCCGAAACTCGGCATACACTTCGTGTTGGTCATGTTCTGGGTTGTCTGCTAGTCCAAGAACGTCCATCCGACACAGTTCTTCATAGTCGCATTGGCTCGTCTGCGTGAGAAACATAGCAGAGTAGTCAAGCTCCTTGCCCTGAGCTAATATGGTCCAGCCAAACTTGGTTCTTTCGGCGACCGGTTCACCTATCTTACCAACCCGAGGTTTTTCGTTGGTTTTGATACGCATGTAATCACCTGCTCCCAGAATTAAATGTACAGGTAGCTTTGGTTTCTGGTCTTTGTCGTCCATTTGCACACCATCGAGATGTTGATAGGAATTTATCAGTGTTGTATAGTTTGGGTTGTCCACATATAGCAGTTCTCCTTTGTCGACTTTCGTAACACTCACATCCATTGCAAATTCTCCATTCACTGCCTCTACACACACTGTTGACAGTTCCATTTCCTTCGTTACTGAGCCAAGCATCATCTCAACACGTCTCACTTCCCTTTTACGAGTTCGTTTCGGCAGCAAATCCAACAAGGCAGCTGAAGCGTACGAATTCCCTGAACCGGTATCTAACAGCGCACGACACTTTATACCCTCGACACTTACTACTACAACTGGATACACTAACGGACCCCCATTCGATCCACACGCGGTTAAAAGCTGATCTTTCTTTGTACATATTGATGAGTGATGCTTCATATTACATTTCGAACATTTGTGAACACTCTTGCAGTCTGCTGCTCGATGTTTAGTTCCGGTACAATTAAAGCAAAGTTTCTTTTCTGCCAGTAGTTTCTTTCGTTGATCGATGTCAGTTACAGTCAAGCAATCCTTCGAGTTGTGGGTTTCAGCATCACAATAAACGCATGCTCGTTTACGACGATCACCGTCCTTTGCATAATAAAATCCAGACTTACGTTGTTTCTTGGTATTCCCGCTTTCATCAACTGGATTAATGTCTCTCCATTTCTTTAGCTCCACGATAAGGCGTGTAAGGTCCCAATCTTGCCAGCCCTCATTTCCTCTCACCAGATCTACTTTAATTACTTTGAGTTTCTCCAGTACACTCCTTGTCATACCGCTTACTTTGTCCAACTTGCCCAGAGTTTCCAGCGCTTGCGTGTTGTATAACAGGCTCTTGTAAAAATCATTCACTTTGGCAGGATTAGAGTCTGTAATAACAGGTAATCCCATTATGTTTTGAACGTGAGAGTTCACTATCTCGCTTGTTTTCCCATATTCATTTTTAAGTATGTTTTTCGCTCTTTGATATCCTTCTGAGGTAAAAGGTAATCCTTCTATTTCTGCTCTAACTTTCGGCTCTAACCATTCTTTCAAAAACGCAAATTTGGTCACGGAAGGCACGTCAGATTTATCGATTTCTGCCTCGAATGTATTCCAAAACGGGAGCCAATTTTCAAAATTGCCATTAAATTTTGTCACGGGTAATTTGGGTAATTTAATAGACGTTGATTTTTCTTGTTCTTTCGCTGATGTCTCGATTGATTTCTGATATTCCAATTGTTTATTTAACAGTTCAGTTTTGTGCTTCAATTCCCGCTTTCGTTCTTCATCCTTCGCTGCTTGTTCTAGCTCGAACTTTTGTTTCTCGAATTCAAGTTGTTTTTGTCTTTTGATATCTATGGCAACGCGTTCGGTTTCTTCGGCTGCTGCTCTCTCTGTTTCTTTAATCTCATTCAAACGCTCTCGTATTTCACTTACTTTGTTATCTGCTTCGCTAATTCTCGACTCGACTTCCTCAGCCCAGTCTCGTATATTTTCCTCAGAATCGTTGTCGGTAAATTTGATCTCCTCTATTTCCTCCTTTAAGGCATATATTGCTTGAATTCGGTTCGTTATTGAACTAATTTGTCGCGTTAAAACCTCGGTTTTAGTAGAATCAATAACTTCGTCAGACTTTTTGATCGCAAAGTTCAATGCTTTTATTTTCCCAGTTAATTCCAGTAGCTTTTTGTCAACAATCTTAGACATATTCGATATAATATTTCACGGTCACGCTCGTCGCAAATCACAACAAAATCTCGATATAAATGCTTTGGATTGTACCAAAACACAGCTCAAATCGCGTCGGTAGGTGCCACTATGTTGGGGATTGCTTCCAAGTATCGCCCAAAATAAATCACAATAAAACACAGTATAATATCTATTACAAAATCACAAGTTTCACAGTTTCACAGCCACATGTTTTTAAGTTCTCTCCTGGAAAAAACAACAACCACCGGTATAATCCGGAACTTTCCGAAGTGTTTAAAGTTTGGACTCGCGCGTCCCACGCGTGAACATAAATACTAATTCTAGATTACGACAGTTTCCGACAGTTCGATAGTCTTATAATATATAATATTAAAATGAATAAAGTTCAAATTCTTCAAAATGCTGTTGTTGACATTTGCTATTTTTAGTAATTTTGTCAACGAGTGTAAGCCAATCAGAAGCCTGCGTTTCTATACGAACGCCACTACCAAGAAAACCTATAGTTCCGTGCAGGCCCTCTATTCTTCGCGCCGCCCGTAACCCAGGGCCTGTTCGCAGGCTAAGTTGTCCGCTGGTTGTCCGCTAATCTCTCACTGTGGTCTGGACACACATTGCCATGAAATGAGGCCCCGGCCAGGGCCGAAAGTGTTTACATTTCCACAAGGCTCTGAGGCTTAGACCAGGTCTTTTACAAGTAGTGAGCCCAGATTTCCTGGCCTAAGTCAGGACAAGGCTAGGCCATTTCCACAAGCCTAGCCCAAGGCTGGTAGTGTAAACACGACTATTGATTGCATCAGGGCACAGAATAAGGCACACAGAAGGGCCCCTGGCCGCCATCTTCCTAGGCAGTAGATTACATTTTCTGGCCAATGAACGCGCTGTATTGGCTGGCCGCCATCTTCCTAGCCAGTCAATTGCATGTTTTTGCATAGAAAAATGGGGACACGTTGCACCGCTGAGTGGCCCTTCTGGTACTGATCTTTATTCTGTGATCAGGGTGCATTACGACTAAGTGGTTAGTGTTTCCCACAATATGGTAAAAAAGTATAAACTTTTGCTAGCTTGAGCTTGAAGGATTTCTAGAGTTTACCCTGTATATACAGTATGTGCCTGTTTATATGATAATGGCATGACATATTACTCTGAGTGTATATATCCACACCGGGCAAGCTTGAAAAATATGCCTGGCCACGGTGGGAATCGAACCTGCAACCTTTGGAATACTAACTAGCCCACAATGCTCTGCCTACTGACTTACTGAGCTATGTGGTCTGATCGGTTCGAATATATGAAATGTCGGGACAGAATCTAGTTCCTTCGATATCAAATGAATGTAATCGAAGGAACTAGAAAAATCATTACTGATTATTAGATTACATTGATATCGAAAGAACTAGATTCTGTTCTGAAATATCCCACATTCAAACCGATCTGACAGCGTAGCTCAGTTGGCAGAGCATTGGACTAGTATTCCAAAAGTCGCAGGTTCTATTCCCACCGTGATCAAGCATATATTTTTAATTAATTAAGCTTGCCCGGTGTGGATAATTATACACTCAGAGTAACATCACAAGCATCATATTCCTAAGTACATTAGACCAACACAGAAAAATCATTACTGGCTACAGTATATCTAACCTTAAACAGACTTTGTCAGGCTATTATAATTTACAGGCTTACAGCACTCTTATGTACTAAACCAGCACTATAAAATAAGTTCAAAAATAGATCAGAGGGTTAAGCAGATGGCTGCTGTGTTGTAGTCTGTGGTTCGAACCCGAGTTGGGACAGGTTTTTGTTCACCTTTACTAAACATTTCTTTTTTTCTGATTAGTTTTATTTTTAGTTTAGGGTTAGTTTTCTTTGAATTTGACTTTAACTATAAATACAACCTGTGTGGAGACTAAGAATGAGAGTGCCATAAATATAGCCTGGCGAAGTTTGTTTACGGGCCTGAAGATATAGCCACTTTGTAATAATTATTTAAAAACCAATTTAATTATAATTAAATGGATCAAATGATTGGATAATTACTACAAAGTGCAGACTACATAAAAACAGTCTAAGCTTACAACAGCATAAAACTAGTATTCTTTTTACATGTGCATCCAACCCTAGATTGAATTAACATATAAATAACCATTAATTACAAGAATATGCACCAACATACTTGATGATCCACTTAGCCTTGAGAGTAAAATGGTCTGGCATTAGACAGAGTACAATAATCTAGCATTTATAAGACAGTAAAATAAGGAAGTAGGACAAACAAGTGTACAATACAACTTAATGGGTTTACTAGACACATGGCCATATTAACCCACCAAAACAGGAATACTTCTCAAGACGTTTGGAGGTCGTTCACTGGATATTACACTTACACTAGGCTGGACATGCATAAGCTGCATTGTGCCACAACTTTATTGTTTTACTCTGTCCGATGGGTCGTTCCAGAAAAGATCCACTCTCCCCTATGCACAGAGGAAATTTCTACCATCTGGAGGGTAGGGGAGAAAAATTGTTTCTGATAATAGTAAGTGTATATTAGGACATTCGAATTTCGAAGGGGATAGGAGGTTACAGTAACTTCCAATTTTCTTCATGAGGGAGGTATCGATGTTCTCTGAAATGACCCAATGTCAGATGATTTTACTTGTCAGTGATATCGCTCAGTGGGTTACTGAAACAAGTAGCACTCCTCTCCAATGTAACTAAGGTGAAATCATAATCTTATGAATCTATTCAATGTTTTCTGGAGTGAGTCAATAGCATATTAAATCACAAATAGCAACAACCAGTAGCAGATACTTCGCCAAATATTGGGGGTGCTGTTGTCAATATATTGGGGATGTCTGTCAACAAATCTAGTGCACATTTCTCTTGTTAACCCATTCATTGGCAATATGCTCTACTTTCTATTACTCTGTCTAATGCCAGCAAATTTTACAGTTTTACTTGTTGAGAAGATAGCCTTGCAGCAGTTTCCAATTTGCCACACAGAGAATACATTACTGGGGACGAGTCGGGGTAAAAGTTATATGAATCGAGGGTTATCAATTATGATAATACTAGAACCAACTTGAACCAAAGTTTGGGTTGTGCTACTACATTACAGTAGGTCTTCCAATTCGTAATAATGTGCATAGTTTATAGGTTGGACAGGAGCGAATTGCTCATATTGCTGCATGCGAACTGTGAACTTGTGCTATATACAGTAATGTTAACTGACTGGAGTTACAGTACATGAAATATGTAGAGCTAGCGATAGTCTTGTATTTCCTTTCTTATCGCTCATGTGACTAAATGTTTTGCGGGAGCAACAGCTTCATCAGTGAAAGCTGCCATGGCCCAAAAGCGCAAAGACAAAAGAAATGCTGATACGAAAAGAAGAAATATTTCAGAAGACATTTGAACTGCTAAGTTTTTTCTTTATTATAAATTATTTTGTATGGTAGCTAAACGTTTGTAGAAATTAACTGTATTTAATAAATTATTTCTTCCTATATATACCATTACAGTATCTCACTGTTTGACAGGTTTAAATGTGCATGATTGAAGTTTTTGCATAATTTCACATGTGAAAGTGGAACATGTGATATTTCACATGTGTATTTGGAACATGTGATATCTTGCATGTGAAGTTTCACATGTCAACACGTGTGAAATTATGTGTTTCACGTGTGAAGTTTCGCATGTGAATTTCACATGTGAATTTGGAACATGTGATTTTTCACATGTGAAGACATGTGAAATTATGTGTTTCACATGTGAAACTGTTCCATATTCACATGTGAAATTTCACACATGTGAAATCATGTGGAATTTTTGTAAGGGCTGATTTTCAGAATTATTTGAGCTTAATGATGAAGTACCGTTGTCCGCCATTGTATATTTTCGAAGCAAGTAGTTCATCTTGTATACATATTTTGGACCTGCGTCCTATAAGTATGTATACCATTGCGTGATATGCTTCTAGTCGTCTATGTACTCATCACTCATGAGCAAACCTTACAAACCTCAACATTCAGGCTCAATTTGCACCTTTAGATATGCCCGTTTTCGTCGTTTTACTTTAATTTATTGACTTTAAAGTAAGAGGTTGCTCGATGGAAAAAAAGTTGCCAAGAAGTGAAAAAGTTGCCTGGAATCGGAAAAGTTGCTCCAAAGTTGCCAAGCATCTTGTAGACAGCCTTACCATTCTTAGTAAAACAAATATATTTAAAACTTTCATCCACTTGCATATACTAGACCACTAGACGTGGTCAAGTAGAAATAATTTTCTGCTTGCCTGGCTCACATATACTCGCCAGAAGATCTAAAAAACACCTATACACATTACATCAAGAGTACAGTAGAATGTTACAAAAAATCATGTGCAACATTCGCTGGATTAACAGCTGGCACAATGCAGGCCTGGAAAGGACGAAATTCGTCCATGTCATTAACATCACAAATAAATAACGTCGTTCCCAACTTGGCCTTGTGGCTCAGAAGGTACAGCGTCGTTCTAGAAATGCAAAGGTCGCGGGTTCGATTACCAGCCGTGGTCAAGTAGAATTAATTTTCTGCTTGCCCGGCTCATATACTCGTCAAAAGATCTAAAAAACACATACATATATATATATATATATATATATATATATATATATATATATATATATATATATATATATATATATTATATATATATATATATATATATATATATATATATATATATATATATATATATATATATATATATATATACCGGGTGGGGCAAAAAAATGTGCGACTCTTAGAATTGGTATAACTAAAAGAGCAATGAAAATATAACACGTTTATTGGCATTCAGCGATGTCTAACTTAAATTTTGATATATGCCATGCACATTTCCATGCCATATTGACAAAGATACGTGCATTTGAACAAGAGTAACATTTTTGAAACTGAGACAATTAAGCTAAAAACGGCCTATTAAATATTAATACCTTTATATACAAAAACAACTTGTGTTA